ATTTGATTAATTTTAGGGCTCTCATGTAGGTGATGTGTCTTGTTAGGAAATTAGTTGTTGAGAGTGCGGGCTCTAAAATTCTGCCCTGTAGAGCATTTACTGTACGTATGACTCGGGCAAATCGCATCTGCCTCAACCTCCTCATTCACGTCAGTGAGAATAATAGTCCTGCACGCAGGACCGCCAGGGGATCCACCGCCAGGGGCATCAAACGAGGTGGTGTATTTATATGTCTTTGAGTAGGACTCAGCAAGCAGTGTGTTTAATGAAAGTTCAGCTGCTTTCATCATCGTTTCCATGGCTCAGTTTCTTTCCTCATCGCCTGAAAGACTGACTGACTTGGAATTTCTTACAATATACTTGTCAAGAATGTAGCCCCACGATCGTGTCTGTTTTATAATCAGGTATGGGTGGTATCTAACGCTGTTTTATGAACTACTAAACTTCAATTTACTCTATAAAGAAAGCTATAGTCCACTCTCGTGAAGGCTGTCTCGTATTTCAGCCTCCCTTAAATCGAAAAGTTAGCGGTTTTGTGCTTTGAACATATTTATACATGTAATAATTGTATATGTTTGTTTTTGCTGTCACTTTGTTACATTGAGATATAACTCCAGTCTTGTAGTTTAAGAAAGAGTTTGACCCTGGTACCCCTCCTCGTGACACACTGCAAACAAGGGAGGGTGGAGGCGGTAGAGGAAGGGAGCAGCAGTGTCGCGAGTGGGATATGAACGTCCGACCTCATCAGCATTATCGTGGAAGATCTGGGAGAGTTGTCTAGAAGTAAGAGAACAAGAATAAACGATAGAGCTCAAGATTGTCAGATGTAACTGGCAACTTAAATAGGAGGTCACAAAGAGGGGCCCAGAAACCAGCACACGTGATCCAGGGGACGGGGAAAGCTGCAGCACATTCATGCATCATTTCATACTTGGTTTTAATGATGCTCCTCAATAATAAAAGCTCAGTTGTTTAATTCAGTACATATTTATTTAAGGCCAGATATGTGTAAAGCTAGTGTGTACATACTGTTAAGAATGAAAAATCAGTGAGACGTGGCTCTGGTATTGCCGGGATCAAGCTTCTGAGCAGCTAGAATAAGACAAGCACTGGAACCGTGAGTTACGGTAGGATTCTTAGAGCAAAAGGTGAAATTCACGTTCAAGACGGGGAGAGAAGAGCATTCAGGACATGGGCAGTAGCTTGCGGAAAGTTACGAGTGTCAGAATCCGTGTTTATTTACAATGTGGCGTGAAGGTCGGAGGTTGTGGGACAGTGAGCGAGGCGGCACCTGGAGTTGGTGGCACTGAGCGGCGGGGGGCGGGGAGCGGGGAGCGGCCTCGCGCTCGAGGCTCGGGGCTGCGTGTCAGGTATTTTCCTGCAAGTCAACTGTCCTCGTCCTCAAGTTTTAAAAATCCACACTTATTTTAAAAACTCAGGATCGATAACAGCTGAGACATAAATTGTGGACACGTTTGGAGAAGGGACGGATAACGAGCTGCAGCTTGGACGAGCTGAGTTGCGAGTGCCTTAGACACAGCGATCGACGGCCGCCCGCCCGCTCGGCAGTCTCCCTCGGAGGACTGCGGGGAACGCGCCGCATGGGCTCCGTGCTGCGGGAGACTGTGGCGCACAGGGTGAGGTGGCGTTGCTCTGGGCGACCATAGACAGGCATATAGTAACGAGTGGTAATGAGCTGTTACATTAGCATCTCGGTTGTTGCCTCCTGAGATATTCCTGGAAATTAACTGACAAGGAAAGAGTGCCCGGGACCCGCTTCGAAGGGTGCCTGTTTTCCATGGGGGTTCTTTTCGGTTTTCCTCTTCGTGGCTTGTTTCTTCACTTTTTTGGCCCAACTTATTTTGTGAAGTGAGGAGTTTGGAGAGTGGATTCTTCATGTCGGCATTTGGGAGCCCACACCCATAGTCTTACTCTAATGCTTGTCTGTCTGTGCCGCACACCGCAGCTTTCTGGGCATGCGCCGTAGGCCTCTGTGGCACTGGCCCGCCCAGACTTCCCGTGTCACCGTGTCAGGAGCAGAGCGCAGGCAGGGATTGTTTGTGCTGGCGCAAGCCTCAGCGTTGAAGGGGTTTACTTAACCACGGCTCTTCCTGAGTTAGAATGGACTGCGGTTGGATAATTGTGACTTCTGGGTAGAATTATCTTAAAACCTTTTTAAAAACGAAGTCTGATATGGTCATAGATTAAAAATAAAAAATTCTGTAAGGCCTGATGTGGAATACGTGGGTTTCTCCCCCTTGTCTGTCTAACTGTCCCCAGTCCCCCAGCTTCCTGCTCTTGAAGAGATTCTTCGGTGTTTATCCTGTTACTACCCTGTGTATTCATCCTGCGTCTGGTGGGTTTAAGTTCTCACCTCATTTGTTCGTTGTGGTGAGAGCTCAGGCCGTCTTCACGTGGAAGCTCTTACCCTCAGTGTGGATGGTTTCCGCTCTCCTGCGCCCTTTTTCTTGGTGAGACATCTGTCCTTCAGTTTCGGAGCCTCATGGACTAGACCTGCAATTTTTATACTTTCCCACCATTTTCTATCTCTGTCTTTGCTTCTAGTTGGAGGGAGACTTCCTTAATTTTTACCCTCTAAACTATCTAGTTTTTTGTTTATATTACCATATTTTTAGTGCCATTCTTTTTTATGTTTCTGTTTTGTTTTTGTTTTCTTATGTTTTGAATTTTTTTCATAGCATCTCTACTTGTTTTAAGGATGTAGCATCTTAACTCTGCATATTTCTGCGTTTTTCCTCTCGCTGCTCAGGGATTGCTTGCTTCCTTCAGGGTGTCTTCTCTTTGTTTGTTGGGCTGGTTAGTTCCCCAGAGAAAGGTCTTCCAGTCACCTGCCCCCAGTGTATGGGCTGGCAGCCTTCTCTGCAGGTGTAGAACGATGGAGAAGCCTGGACATCTCAGATTTCAATATGTAAGGGATCCCCAAAGCCCAGTCCCAGAAGTGGACCCCTTGAGGAGCAGAGTTCGAGCCTTTGCTGGGAGTTGGGGAGTGTTAGGCATCCAGCTGCTTGGGGCAGGGCCATAGAGAGTCAGCTGCTCCTTGGTGAGCAGTTGGTGTCAGTGAGAAGTCAGTCTGCCCCCCCTTTCATTGCTGCCTTTTCCTCTGCCTTTTTTTCCCAGGGGGTGGGATCTTGCAGTATAACTTGGTTCCTTCTCACTTAGGGGTGGGCCAAATTCCTCCCTAACTTAGGCATCTGCTTTCTAATTTCTAAATTGTTTCCCATTTTCTTATTACAAGTTTGTACATTTTAAACTCCGGTATTTTAGAATTTTAGGAGGGAGTGAAGGAGCACAATTAAATTAATTTCACCACCTTTGTCCATAAGTTTTTGTTCTTTTAATAGTTTTTAAAACTGTAAGTAAAACTTTATTTTGAAGCAAGTATTAGGATAAGTGTAACTGTCTTTACATTTGTATTTTTAATCGATACTTAAGTTATTGAATTGAGTATATGTTTACCAAGGTGTTTTACAACTCGTAAGTTTATTCCTGTAATAGAGCACAATGAAAAATTAGACTGCAGCTTTGTTCTCTGTTCCTGTCCTGTAAATCCTGCCCTTTTTAAATCCTCTGGCTCTTGTCCCCTGTATAAAGTTTCTGTGGTAAGTCACTTATAATTTTAGTTTTCATTCTTAGTCTTTTCTAAAATATTTTGAAATACGAAATATAAATATTCTTCAGTTTGTTTTGTGTCTTTCACACACACACAATCTTTTAGTGTCTTTTTCTATTAATTATGACATCTGTGTCCTTGGTTGGTTTCTTTTGATTTCTTTTCCTCATATGTTATATTTTTCTGCTGCTTCGCCTGCCTGTTAATTTCTGATTAGGTGCCAGATAGTGTGAATATTACTTTGTTGGGCCCTTATTTGCATTTCTAAGTATTCTTGGTCTTTGTTCTGGGACATTGACTATTGCTATTACCTTTGAAATTTTAAATACCCCCTGGCAGGCCTGTGAGTGCACTGTGCTGACTCAGGTTCACTCTTTGGAACCGCGTCGATGGCCTGCCACAGGATGCTGTGCTGTCTGCTTTCTCGTTCCCTTCACAACATGTGGATGCATTTCCATCCAGTGATAGGAACAGAAAATAAAGTCAAAAGCACATATTTCATGTTTACAACTTCTATTCTTATCGACTAAGCTATTTACAACTTATTTCTAGTCTTACTGGCTGAGCTACATAGATTTTTTTTCCTAGTATGGCCTCTGTAAACATGTGAATTGTAGTAGAAAGCTGTTTTCATATACCAGGTTTATTAATTTATACCAGTTTTATTTTCTTTTATTCAAATCTCACAATTTAGTAAATAGAGATCTACAAGAGGTAGTTATTGCTTTTATGGTATCTTGCACTAAGCCAGGTGCATTTATTTATAATAAATACATATATTTTTATAAATATGCATTTATTTTTACATTTAAGTACGTTTATATTCTTATTTTGTTTAATATTAACAGTCGTACTTATAAGTTATATATTATAAATTGTGACAAAATGGAAAGATCACTGAACTTGAGTTTTTGTAACTTTGGTTGAGCTCCTAGATTGACAAGTTACTACCTTATGTGACCTGACAATGACTAAGTTAAATTAACCCCGATGACCTGCTATTTACTTATAAGTAAAATATAGAAATAACAATATGTTTTTCATGGTAACCTAAGCTGATGCCATAAATGAGTTTCTTAGTACATAAGAGCACTACAGGGTTATGGGGGTGCCTTGTCCACTGTTGTATCCTGAGCATCTGGCTCCATAGTACGTGCTCGACAAATGTTTGTTGGATTAACTATCGTTTGACCTACTGGGCTTACACACAGGTTTTTGCCAGGAAAATAATTCAAAATACTTACAATGCCATCATAGAAAAATAATGCAACCATATCTTAAGTAATTGGCAACAAATTAGTGTTATGAAAAAATATACTTTCTTTTTGGAAAGAAAAAATTGTAATATTGTACTTCGTAAATTTTTTAGGAGGAGCAAAATAGAGGCAAGCCCAATTGGGAGCATCTCAACGAAGATTTACATGTGCTGATTACTGTGGAAGATGCTCAGAACAGAGCAGAGATCAAGCTGAAGAGAGCCGTGGAGGAAGTGAAGAAGCTCCTGGTGCCCGCAGTAAGTACAAACTCCAGGTCTCCGATTCGGGATCCAGCCCCTTCCAGTCTAGTTTTAAATTATTGTAGCGTGCAGGGTATTAGTTGTTAGAAATTTAATTTAAATAAAAATACAAAAATATTTCTAATTCCTATAGTACAATACAGTAGACAATCCTAGACATCGATCAGATCTGTAAATGGAAAAGCCTATTTGTATCTTGTGAAGGGAGCAAGCTGAATTAGTGACCTACTTTTCAAAAGCATTATTACCTTTCATCCCTCTGCTGTAGGGTAAGACACAGTAGGGTGATGGAAGCTTGCTTTTTTTAGTGCAACAGTTTCTCTGTAAGTGAGTAATGAGCGGACAGCTGATGTTTATGTTGGGCAAGCTGTTAGTAGGAGCACATTGTTTGACTTGCAGGTCCTTGTCTCCCATAGTGAACTTGTTGCAGAGGACGATGAAGTACCCTTAGAAAAATAAGAGCTCACTTCCACTAATGTCCAGGCCCCTTTGTGCTCTCACCCTCCCTGCCTTCCATTCCCACGCCTCCACCTCACCAGCCCCGCTCCCCTCTCCCTGTGGTCATCTCCTCTTTGGTACAGAAGCCTATAGTAAGTTTAGACATGATGACTGAGTTACTACCAGATTATTATCTTTTTCAGTGGAAAATAAAAAATAAATTACTGGTTTTCTAAGACAGTATTAAAATTTTTTATATTGGTAAAATATATGGAATGTGGACCCTAACAGTAGGAATACTGCTACTATTCTGTCCAACAGAAATTTGTTGACATTTACATAAATGAGTAGAATGCTGTCTGTCCTCTATTCCCCAGGTAGCCTGTTCTACAACTAAACTTACAAAACAACCATTTTTGTTTGACAAAATTAACTCCTTGAAAGAAAAGAATTCCTTGTAAATTCTGTTTGATAGGTCTTATAATATAAACATACAACTATAAGTTCTATAATTGTAGTCTATTACATCATATAACTTCTCTCCTTTTAAAAAATAATTGTGCAGTACTGAAGAGATGTATAAAAAAGGGTTTTTTCCCCTAAGAATATTGGGCTATTAGTCCCTTGATCAGAACAGGTTACTTAACATTAAGCCTTTTTTTGATATGTATAACTGAATATTTTTAACTCATATAACTAAACAAATTATTCATCTAATCTATTAAATAGACCACTGTCTAATAATTAAAACTCTTAACCGACCTATTTATATTATTCCAATCATTCTGTAAGCTACCTTAGTTCTAAAAATTATTAACCTGGGAAAGAGCATTCAGTTAGAAATCTATTGTTATTAACTAGCTGTGTGTCTTTCAGAAAGTAAGTAAACGTCTATGTGTCTGTTTTCTCATTTACAAAGTGAGAATTGGAGCAAATGTCCTCTAAGGATCATTTTGGCTTTAAAATTACTTGTTTTTGAGTATTAAAAGGTAGCAATAGATAAAAAAGACAGGCTTTTAAAAAAACTCATACAGTTTATATTTTAAGGGAAAATAGCACTCTACATGAAATTCGTATTCCATCGTTCATTAACAGATGTTACTGAAACACAGCCATGCTTAGTCATTTCACATGGTCTGTGGCTGCGTGTGCGTTTCCTTGGAGGAGTTGAGTAACTGAACACAGACCATGTGCCCAGGAAAGCCATCTACTGTCTGGCTTGTTACAAAGTCTGCCAGTTTCTGGACAGTTGCATTAATCCAGATGACAGATGATAATGGGTGGGGCCAAGGTAGCCGTAGTGGTGAAGGCAAAGCGTGGTCTGATGAAGCTGGCAGGTTTGCTAATGGAATGTCTATGCGATGTTGGAGAGCACTGTGTCACGAATGAAGTCAAGGCTTTTAGCCTGAACAGCTGGAAGGAGATGATGCTGTTACCTTGATGGAGATGATGTTGGCAGCGAACAGACTTTAAAGGGATTATCAGGAATCCCGTTTTGGGCCTAGAACACTTGAGATCCTGTTGCCTGTCCGAGTGTAGCTATTCAAGTGTTCTGTTCAGATGAACAGGTACTTACCCAGGCCGACTGTGTTTTAGGGCAGTGGAGTACAGAAAATTATTAAGATAAGATCCTTTGAGCAGTTCGCATTTCCCTAAATGTATTCTGTGAGACGTTTTTCATAGGTATTCTGGGAAAAGGAAGTCTTTAATATGCTAGTAAGTACTGCGAACCTCTGGTAAGGACCATTTCCAGATTTAATTGGCCATCAAATTTTTTTCTGGGAATACATTCACATTTTGTGCCCTGAAGATAATCTGAGAAATAATAATGGAAATTCTTAGGTCTGATTTAAATACAGTTTGAGCTGTATTTTTTTTTTTTTTTTTTTTTTTTATT